CCATCGTCTTGCTTGGAGTACCAGACAACAATGACTTTATGAAAGAGGCTTCTCAGCTCCATTCTCGGAGTCGGACCAGTCATCGTTTGTCTTCGGGAAACTGTTCTGGGCGGTTTCTTTCAAGGCGCCGTTGCCTCCACCACTGAGCCCATTCCACCACCTCCAGAGGACGGGGTGAGCGATGCAGACATCAAAATCTGAAGACTTGCCAAGCTCCCCACCCCTCTGGACAACGACACGAAGTCATCTTGGGAAGTTGAAAGGCGAAGTCAAGTGGCACTTGGGCTACAGTTCTGACAGTCAATGCTCAGGGGACGCACTTGAGAAGAGCGGTTGCAAGTAGAAGTCCCACTTTGGACATCACACCTCACCAGGATCCCCCACCACCCGATGCAGAAGAGGACTTGCTTGCAGGTGCATTCCTAGTCTTGAGCCGAACATGGTGGTTGGAGACGAACAGAACTGTCTCCCTTAAAACGATAGACACTTCCAAAGTTGGCAAGGTGTTGTTTGCAGAGCAATCCATGATATACTCCCACGACCATGCTATATGAAACTATATAATACTATATATATATATTGTTTTTTCATTACTTGTTTCTAATAGCTTCTTGTTACTACTAGTAAGGCACCTGTTCCTAGTAGCGATGCACTTGTTTCTAGTAGCTTTTTATAACTATTCTGTCCATGAAGCCTTCGGCACTTGGAACCAACGTTTTTTTTTTTTTTTTTTTCGCTTTTGACGGCACACCGGTGACTCACGGAGGTCTACAGGTGAGCTCGGGCCAGCTGGCGGTCTTCGCGCGCTGCGTGATGCGGAGCCCAGCTTTGCTTCGCTGCTTGGAGAGGTGATTTTTGGTGCTGATTGGTGGAGTGTGTAGAGTGTGTGGATGAACGGCAAAAGGCTAGATTACCCCATCAGAGGCAGACCAAAGTCAGATACCTGGTGAGTGAGTGCCCTACCTCCCGCAGTTCTGGCTTTCTGTGGAGTCCAGCTAGGCCACGGCGACGTCAAAAGGGCGTGACCGGCGGCAAGGAGTTCAAAACTTTTCATCACACCTCCCGGGGCATTGCACTCCGACTCACACATCACATTGGAAGGTGGACACCGGACACCCACCCTGCCTCGTCCAGGAACATCCTCATGCCAAATTTCATTGTCGTCCCTTTTCATCCCTTTGTCCACCTTCCGAGTCTTCCAATGTGTTTCTTTTCCTCGGAGCCGACCGGTGGATTTGTTGGGCGACCCGGGCGGGTCTCTTCCAAGCGGTAGCGCGACCCGGGCTGCCGTGCGTTCCGCACGTGAGGCGTGGACCTGCGGAGTTGTGGGCTGCCCCCGGAGCTGGCGGAGCGCGTGGGGACGGTGGCGCGGCGGCACTTCGAGCTTTCTTTCGGATTTTTGACGGATGGATGGCTGGATGGATGGATGGCGGGAGGGAGGGAGGGAAAGAAAGAGAGAGAATGACGAGAGAGAGAGAGAGAGAGAATGAAGAGAGATGAGGGTGACTGAGGGTGAAGTTGGATATTTAATGATATTTGGACCGGAGGGGACCAATTCCTGTAATAGTTCATTAGTTCCGGGCATTCCCTACATGTCCCTTACTAAGCAGCAGTCGTTTTTTTTGGGGGGGAGGGGCAATGCCAATGGCGGAGGATGCTGGATGGAATGGTTGTCGGCCTGTGTGAAATGTGTTTGGGGATGCTTGATATGGGGACTAAGTGCGATTTTTGTTTTGGTTGGGAGGGAGAACAAAGGCTGCACTCAGATCCGGCGAGCCCATGAATTTCCACAATCCAATCCTTCCCATCTCCAGCCGCACAAGTATTGTATATAACTGCCCAATCATTCTTCCTGGTCTAGAGTCTACACGCCGACTCATGGACACCTGGAAGACTCTGTGAAGCACCGGGAGGCTGTGAATCTGAGGCTGTGAAGCACCGGGAGCTAGTGGCAAAGGGCATCCCAGTGGAGGCAAGGAGGTGATGTGTGGCTGGACGGTGGTGGGTGGCGAGGCAACAGAGATAGGATGGTTTTCAACAAATGCAGCAAGCAACAGCACACCATGTGCAAGAATCTCTCCGGCCGTTGGATGATGGTGAGGTTCCCATACGTTGCCCCATGAACAGGAACCTGGCGACCTAGCGAGGAACAAAACATCTTGTGGGAGTCTTGCCAGTTTCTTCGATGTTCCTTTCAAAAACGGCGGATGTGGGGCTGCTTGAGGTCCAGCCCAAAGGTCTCAATGACACGGTGCTGCAGGCACTGCAGGCCGTTGACATCTCGTCCCAAGACGAACAGGTCGAAAGGAACAGGTGCTCAGGCGGATTGGGGACATGTCTGAGGCCTATGAGAGGGCCAAGCAGGCCGCGGAGGCTGAAGAGGCCGCAGCAGAGGCCGACGATGGGAAGATGGGGGACGGCGAGGGGGTATCGAAGAACGTGGGGCAAAGGGGCCATGGGTGAAGACCTGGGGCCTAGTGAGTGAAGACCGAAGAACTTGTGCACCCGGGCGGCTGGAAACATCTGGAAGCACCAAAACATGGGCGCCAGCGTGAATGACATCTTCCATCAACTTTAGGGCCCGAGACTCCAGGCCACGTCTACACAGGGGCCATGGGATGACATGAACACGTACCATGTGGTGGTTTTGCGATGGATCGAGGGAAGATTAAATCGCTTAGGTTCCTGTCCCCATGTTGACCCCAGGCCACCCAAGCCCCTGTACATAGCAGGTAGACCAACAACTGCAAGCCAACCGCTGACGCACCAGGAAGAGATGGCTCAAGACGAGGAGGAAGAAGGTGAAGAGAAGGAGACTCGTCCTGCAGAATTCATGTTGGTTTCTATGCATCACCTGCTAGTATTTGTCCCAGGCGGTCTTCAGTTGCACTATGTTGCACTCCTTGCTTGAATTTTGCAACCCTGCAGATGGCCAATGCCAACGATCTATCATTCCTGGATTGTTTTCATGTTTTTCTATGCAAGTCCGGGATCCTTCTCTGATACTTCGCATGCGTCTCCCCTCAAGAACGTACGAGAGTCGCGCGCGAGTCGCGTTGCAAGGTGGAAGAAAAGGAGCCTGAAGAGAAGCCGGAAGAGACGCCGGTGGAAAAGCCAGAGGCGGCTGGATCAAGGGATGGATTGAAGGGTATTCTTTCCTTTAACTTTTTTCTTGTATAATGGCAGGCAAATGGCATACTGACTGTTGGTTGGAAGAGATACAGTGTGAAGACGCTTTTGTCCATATATATATATATAATGTTGTGAAACAAACACAATATATATATATATATATATACACACACATTTGTATGCATGCACATACATAGCGCAAATAGGAGTATACGAAGGACCTCGCGGTCTGTTCTGTGGATGATTTGAATCATGTGCTTCAAGGGCGAGGAGGAGAAGAAAGAAGGGGAAGGCTCCTGAGAGGCCAAAACTGGACGAGGGCGCTTTCCAAGAACCGAGATGCTCGGGAAAGAACTGACCAGATGTAGCCAGATATTCGTCCCACTTCCGCAAAGCTGACCCACCGAATCCAGATGTCAATGATCACCGGAAACCATCGCTACTGCGTTCCGAAAGTCTCTCTGGAGGTGCAGAGGCAGCGTGCATCTCACCCGTGTCATCGTTTCACCTACTATCTGATGGATCGCCAGACGTTCAGACGTAGTGCACCTGCACCTTTCAGAAAAGGTCCATATGTGGGTTTTCCCGTATTTCGGGGCAGTTAAGAGTGAAGCACTCAAGAAAGGCAGTTCCGCAAACTCCCCACATCTTATCGTGTTGCTGGTATTTGCAACAAATTTTGTGGAGTCAGTAGGGCAGCCAAGAAATATCATCGTGATATGGATGTCCTTTGGGGAGATGTAGTGTGCTACAGGTCCTCCTTGAGGTCCTCTTGAGAAGTCTTGGAACACATGTCGTGATGTTTCTTTCAGTCTGAGCGGTGCTCCATTTCCAGCTCCCAGTAATTTGTGCCGCTTTCACCCCCCCTTAAATCCAGCATGGCTTGTTGGAACAGATCCTTGTGGGAAATGAACGTGATCCAAGCTAGGCCAGGGTGCAAGTCAAATGTGCTCGGTCACTACTGGCAAACCGCGATCCATTGGTACTGCCCGTGAGCTGCTGGTGCAAGTAGCCGCAGAGCTAAAGAACTTAGCGTTGTGCCGATACAGTCGAACTAGACTGTTGATTATTTTCACAGCTCTCCATACTATCGATATGTATAAAGTATATATATATATATACTGTATTTTTTTTTAAGATTAAGTTTTTACCACTGAACATGGAGGGTTTTATCAATGTAACAGTCTACATCATCAATGAAACCATCCATAGTCTGTTAGCGAAGCTCTCCCCTTAAGGTTCTATGTCAACGACATTGTGGATTCATTGGGGGACCTCTGTGCCAAGCAGGGTGGGTCGGAGGTGTTGCCAAGCAAAGAGAGACACGTCAGCAACTCGAAAACACAAAGGTCAACAACTTCCGTATTAAGACCGTGGAAAGTATTGAACCCCGTGAAAAATTGGAGCAGGCGAGGGCAGGGTTTCCTCCTTGTGGCGCTACAAAGCCATTGAGTTCGTGAAGCCAGGAAGAGCAGCTGCCGCGGGATTTCGCAGCTCACTATGTTGGCCCAAAGGAGACCAGAAGCATCCAAAAGCACTGAGAAGGATCGTAAAAGCAAGTCATCATCACAAGCAAACCCATCCACGAGGCTCTTAAGGAATCCATTTGGTGGTGTGTTTTCTCCATTTTGCTTTGTGAGTAGAGGCAGTGGCTCAGTTTTTCATCATCTGAGAGGTCCTGGCCCATGCTGCGGTGCTATGATAGCGCCCCACTGAACATCCGTGCACCCCCCCGCACAACCCCACCCACACAGCAGGACCAGAGATCAGTGCGTGGACTTGCGTGGACCTTCCAGAGCTCATCACCAAGCTAGAAAAGGTGCGGGTTTGTTGTTTTCTCTTTTTTAGACCCCCCCCACCTCCAACCCCAAATTCAGCCAAGAAAGCTGCAAGAACCAAGAGCTGCCTTTGCTCATGGCGGTGGTGCCTTTCTGTAGCTCCTTCCCTTTGGAGGGGGGAGCCAAGTCTGTGGCGCCCAGCAACTTGGTGCAGACCCGGGAGGTGAAGGGGCCGGTGGTCGCCGTCAAGCACGGTGTTTTCTCACATTGAAGGACGGACAATAGGTGTAGTTCAAACGAATTTGACCCCTCATGGCTCATAGTGTTCAAGTCAACTTGAAGAAAGGGGGACTGATGGGGACTGACTCGACCAGCTTGCCCCACTGGTGCTGTGAAAGTGCTGAGGCTGCCTCATTTGCTGTGAAGAGCGTGGCTTGGCCAGATTTGGCCACGTGGTGATTTATGATCCAATTTCTTTGCCCTTCATACTAGGCACCAACTATATAGACAACTGGACTGGAGCAGATGAGATCCGATTATATAGTATGGTCATTGTTCATCGCTGCTATTCCAAACAGTGATGGGAGGCATGATCTTAATTTCTGCATCTTTGGTTCTTAGTTTGACTGGTTCGGAGGGAGCTGTCTGTCTGGAGCCGGGGGTCTCCATCTTGAACAAACCGTGAGGGTAGCGCCGCACAGAGAACTCCCGGTCTTCTGCGGCTCTGGAGTTCTTCGGAATTCCTCACGCTTTGTTTCGAATACCCAGGGCCTAGATATGCTGCCCTTGGCTCCTGTGGCCACGCAGAGGTTTGCTGGGTTTGTACCGTCAGGCGACGGGTCCGTTTCCGGGGCTACTCGGGGCTGAGGAGATGATCGAGATGACTTGAGGTTTTGGAGAGTGAAGCAACATGGTGTATTCACTGGAACTGATGGATGAGTAACTACCGACATTCCAGAGGAACAACTTTTGGCCCCAAACTCTCCTGCACTTTTCAATAGCTATTCTTCGTGACAGAAGGTGCCCAGAAGTCTGCTCGGCTCCCAACGCCTATTTGTGGAACGGTCTGGTGGTAGTTGGGGGAGCAACATGATCCTCACCCGTGAAGATGTTCCGGAAAAGACACACACACACACACCGCTGAGAAAAGGCATGCATATATATTATTGTAAATGTATAAGTTTCAGCTCAACATTGTTGTAACATGTAATGTAACATGGGGAGTTGAGCCACGGTAGGTGTCCCAACGGACCACTGACCACTGAGACCAACAAGTTTTTCAACTCCTTCGGTCGGGCTTCTCATTTTGACAATTGGGTTTGGATCGGATCAAGTCCAAAACACGTTTCGATCACGGGAGACATTGGATTTCAACCGATTTGGATATATTTGGATGAAACAGCTTTTGATTTGGATCGATTCCGCCCTCTGTCTTTTTCCGGGCGCTGGACGGTTGGGTCAGGTTGCGTGCGATCGTGAAGGACTTCCGGTGCCCCGCCTCTTGGTGCACCGAGATGGCCTCCAACCTAATAGCAAACAGAACCAATAGCGATGGCCTCCAACCTGGGAGCAATGAACTGAAGAGAAAAAGACCTTAATGGGAAGATCTGTATGTGACCTGGCCGTGTCTGGTCGATTCTCATGGTCCTCAGGTGGGTCTTTGTTTGGTTTACCATGGGTTTTACCCCTATTTTGCTTTGAGCCGTGGCAGTGTGGTGCTTGGAGTAGCCTTTGTACGTATACAGTATGCCAGTGTATCAAATAGCAGTTGGTAGCAGTCCTCAATTGTGTCCACCACCAGGTGCGGGACAACACTGAAAGCCGCATGCAACAAGACCCTTTTTCACTTATATAATATATATATTTATATATTTGACATGATTCCTTGGTTATGGGAGCTTGGGAATCTACGCAATGGAAGGCAATGTCGATGACACAGGTCGCAGCATGTCGCAGAGACTCTGCCGAACCTGCTCTGGTTTGAGACTCGCTGCGAGTGGATGTGGCCAAAAATCATTTGTTGCCAAGGATGATCTCCTGCTTGACATTCCTTGATACCCCAACCTCATGACCAGCTGGCTGTCAGGTTGCCAGGAAAATTGACCCAACATTGTCAACATTGTCCCAGGTTCTTCCCAAAGTCACATGGAGGGTGAACAGGCTTTTGTCGGACAATGAATTGAAGCATCATTGCAGAATGTTGCCTTGTCGTTTGTTATGTTACTGTTGAGGGGGGGACCTCCACTCTTGCACTAAGGTCTGCAAAGAAGAGCTCAGTGAGGTCTATGTAGGCAATGATCACGCAAAAGCCCTCAAAGAGCTCAACAAAGGTCAGCCCTTGAAGGGTTCAAAGGATGAGAAGCACCTTGGAGATCGATGGGACATGTGACCTGGGGGGGACCCGGGGGTGACCGTGCTCATGCCATACACGTCGGACTGGAGGTCCTAGGTAAAGAAGCAGGACTTCCCACAGTGTATGCAGGTGGGCGTGCAATGCCAAGAAATCATGCTTGCCAGTCTTGTTTTTTTTTTTTCACTTGATCAGGGGGCTTTGCTGGGCCAGCTGCCACATGTGACCCTGAGGCAATAGAACCCCCAAGTTGGCAAATGCTCAGTTTAAGAGTGACAGATGTATATAGAGAAGGGTAGCCAACGCACAAGGAGAACAACAAGAGTACTGTATATGGGTGTCTGCAAAATAAGAAGACCTCCCCAAGAGACCTGCTGGAAGAAGGGAAATAGACCAAAACCCATTGGGCCAGGGGTTCTCCCTATCAAAATACACACCCATATTGTTGTGCAGTTGTGTATTGGCTCTTAGATCAGTTTAGATGTCCTGTGACCTTGGCTTCCCGTTGCTTGATTGGCTAAGGCTTGGACTCTGCTTCGCTTCCTCCTCCGTGAAAGAGGACGTGGAACGACTGTCACTTGGCCTCACGCCCCTGGACATCAGAGTTCAATTTAAGGTCTTTGCGTGATTGGAACAGTCATGGACAGCTAAAATATGAGATGGAATGAGATCGGACACTTGTTTGAAGTTCCATCTTGATCAATCCTGGTCCTCTTTGCTTGGTGCTGCTTTGGTCCTGCCAGAGAAACCTTGCCATTTGTCACCTGAAGAGATTTGCCCGGACGTACTGGGCTCAGGCGTGCACTAAAATCTAGCTTTCAGTGCCCCTAACGACTTCCTTATGTTAGTTCACACACACACACACTGCCGCTGTGGATTTGGTGACCCTCACCTCAGTGGCGAGCACTGAAGGCTTAGGCTTAGATCATCAGACCACGGTGCACGCGTGTGGGTTCACACGTGCGGTGGAAGCTTAGCCTCACTTACCCAGGTGTGTATGTTGATATGGAGATCCCCAACCTATGAGTTTTGATCTATTTTCCTTCTTCGAACGGTGTTCGAGTTGTGGGAGGTCTCCAACCCACACGCACCTGGCAGGTTTGATTATCGTTGCTGGCATGAGCATTGCCTGCAGAGAGCCGAGTGCTTCCCGACCTTGGAGGCACCGAATACGACCTGGTCGGCCTTCCTCGGGCCAAGCGGCTGGGTGGGATCAGGGCCTTCATCCAAGTGCAAACGAATATCCACAGGTGAAGTGCTTCTTTGGGAGATGTTAAATCAGGATGTCAACAAAGAACTGGCCTACATTTTGTTCATTTCGGATCCGCCCGCTAGATATTGGAGAACAGCAGGCCAATCTGGCATCGACACCCGAAGATGGTGAAGAACACTGACCAAGAGCAGAAACGCTCAGTAGCTTGGTGTACAAAGAAAGGAGAACTGCAAGCCTCTAAGATCGGTGATCCACGTCAAAACACTGCTGCTGTATTCCACAAGCTATCGCCACCCAGCACCACATGTGCAGGCACTGGAACGGCATTTGGAGTCGCAGCATGGCCGACGCTTTTGCCCCACTTGTTTGCAAGGCTGGGAGTGAAGCAGAGTGGTGGAGCAGGTCTTATGGGCTACTGTTGATGGACCAACCCCACTCTCTTATGGACCATCAAACCATGAGCCTGCTGCGCTTGTTTTTCTGCACTCCAAACCCCTCGATCCGCGGGGGATTCGACCCTCGAAATCCTTCGTTCGCACATTCGCCTCGCATGCCCCCGCGTCGCTCGAACATGCGTCGCCTGCCAGGCCGGAAGGTCTTTCTCTTCGAGCAGATGCTGTACCGACCGGAGGATTTGCAGCGACACCACGACCAAGGGGACCGGGGTCGGGGGCCCAGACATGGGGCGTCGGCGTCGATAAGGCGTCAGGTGTGGTCGGAGTGGTTTGGTTGGATGGTCAAGTTCCAAACCGATCATCATTCTGTTGGACCCCTGGCATCTGGGTTTTTGTAGAGTCCATTTTGATCCATTTTTTTGCCACACCAATCTGTTCGCACATCGTTCCAGGCCCGAACCAGCCCCAATCTCCACCGCACAAACGCTGCGCCTTTTGTCGTCGCAGCTTCTACTCCGAAGAGGAGCCGGTACGGGAAACGGAAAAACGGAGGGGTGGGCTCATTTGGATTGGACAACGAATTCAATCTTGGGTGATAGATGCACATTCGTAGCTTCAGAGACACCTAGGCCTAGGCTGTAGAAGAAAGCTCTCATCCACCACTAAGCAGAAAGGGTGGTGGCTTTCGGCATTCGTTTTCACTTTTCCCACTCTACTTGTATGTCAGCGTACAACTATGTTGTTTCCCTTGCACGTGTTGTTGGAGTTGGAAGGATTGTTCATTTGGATGCCAGATCTCAGGTTGACAGAACAAGGGAAGGACATTCGATCAACTGTGTGGTGTGCTGTGCCATGAGACATCAGGAGATCCAAGTCTCGCAAGTCTCGCTTCAGCACTGGCCCATTGGGGTGTGCACATCATGTTTTGCTTGGACATCCTTGGAATGTCCGAAGCTTGATGGACATGGTGGCCACCCCTGATGGCCACGCCAGTGAACAAAGTGGATGCCTAAAGGATCCTTTAAAGGTATATTTGATAGGATAGTGTAATTTTCTGCTGGTGTCTAAGATGTGTCTTGGAAAGAGCTCCTGGGACACATGCGGTGATGTACTCGGAGGACCTCCTGGAACACATGCACAGCAAGCATCAGCTCTGTGGCATTTGCCGCTCGGCAATGTGACCGGCACCGTGCGCCCCCCAAAAGCAACAATCCAACCGAATCCAGGCTGGGGCTGACCATTATGTTTTGCTAAGAAAGCTCCATGCCCTGTTGACTCATGTGCATTCCACTTCGTGGTCCATTTTTGTGAAGTATGTTCCAGATTGAGACACGCTCATGGATGCTCACCATTTGCTCAAATACTTGGCCGATTGGGAGAGCTTTGCAAGGATATTTCCACCGGGATGATCACTGAGGCGACCGACAGGGCCGCAAGGGTGAGTTCTACAGAGACTATGGCTGCCTGTCGGTGCACTACGAGGTGCAAACTTCATATCATGCCTTATATTTGTTTGTTTAGTTAATTTAACATTTTAATTTCAGCTTTGTTTCACTGGTGAATGAGTATCATGGTTGAATGGTACCTGGTATTCGATGCTTGTTTCACTGATGAATGACATCATGGTTTAGTGGTTTTGATATTCTCTTGATCACTGATGAATCGACTTGTGTATATGGGACTAAATGATTGAAGTAGCACTTGGGAACAGTTAAAACAAGAGTTCGTTGTGTTGCCGTGGCCGGCTGCAGTCTATCGTGCCCAAATGTTGCAAGGCCTGTCTAGAATCCATTCCTCCAAAAAGAGTAAGTTCCAACAGAAGAAGCAGTTGACAAACACTAAAACCATCTAAAACAAGAGTTGTCAAGAGCCAGTTATTTTCATTTGCCCAATGTCCCGACGCATTCCGCAATAAAGAACTTATATGTAAACTGCGGTGCGAGTTGAATTGCACGAATCCGCGTTTGCGGCCATTATGCCTCAAAGACCTGCGCGGCGCGTTGCATGTCGCTTTGCTCGCGCTGCAAGCGGTCATCTGCAGTCGGCGGTGACCTGTGGTGCTTGGCGTGCTCAGGTTGGTCCAGCCCGGGCCTTAGAGCAATCGCCACAGATTACGTGACCAGCGCTGTCCGCCAGGTACGGGCGCTGAGGGTCACTCGACCCACTGGAGGTCCCACATCTCTGCGGCTGAGCGGAGCCACTCCCTAGCGGCTGGTGGTGACACCGCGCCTGAGGGATCTCTGCCAGCTCCAGCCTCATTGCCAGATGGACGGGCATATCCGACGGCCGCAGGGAAGCGCATTTTGAAGCAGGTGCTGGATGGCAAAGAAGGTCAAGAGTTGGAAGAGGTCCCAGAGGGGCAAGACAACTCCCCTCTCCCCTCAACGCCTCCTGCCCTGAGCCTCCCACGCCAAAAGAAATCGAAGTACTGCAGGCAAAGGCGGACGGATCCACAGGGGCAGCAGGGCTCCCGCAGAGAAGAGAAAGTCCCCTGGCGACGGAGGCGCTGGCGCCGATGCCTTGCGTTCCCGCTTAGAGAAGATTTGGAGGAAGCAGCAGGCAAGAGGACTTGGAGCACCCCGAGAAGCCGATGGCGAGGACTTGGACATCGAGGAAGCTGGCGATGCAGACCATGCGTTAACGCTTAAAGGCTTGACGAGGCTTCGGCGAGTGACGTTCACGGCTGGGCCGACCCGGGCCGTGACCGATGCTGCCCCACCGGACAGGGGGAGCGAAGAGACGGTATTTTGAGTCTCTCGAGGAAGGTGATGAAGCGGAAGGGGGTAGCGCTTCAAGCTGCCCAGGCGCATTCGGAGGGTGGCCGAGGGCAGAAGAAGAAGAGGAGGAGCGAAAAGGCCTTGGATGCACTTCGCAACATCCTGGGCGGAAAGAAGAAGAAGAAGAAGAGAAAGGAGAAGACCAGAGACGGGGGAGGCCCCGACAGCATGAATCCGGAGGATCAGGCGACTCATCGCCCTCGACTCTCGGCAGCGGAAGAAGGCGGCAGTTCAGAAGAGGAGGAGAAATTGCTGCCCCCGCTCAAACGCAAAAGCGATTGGGCCGAGGGATCGGTTCTGGCCGATCGAGCAGATCGAGCAGCGGCTGAACGAGCTAGGTGGCAGCGGCGCCCGCGAACAGCCAAGGTCCTGACCTACTACTGGCATTCACTGGTGCAGTCCGGCACCGTGGCGCAAGGCTCAAGGGATGTAGACATGTTGCGATAGGGAGACTTGGCCGAGTCGGAGATGCCCTTGCGGCCCGCTGGCTAGCTCTCGAGCAGGCGGCGCTGGACCAGAACTGGTCGGCGGCCAAGCATCTGGAAATATACAGTCCAGATCACATGACAGCAGCTGGACCGGCGGTCACGCTGGCGGCGCGCCGCTTCTCAAGATTGATGGACAAGGTCACAGCCCACGACAAGAAACGAGGCAAAGCCCCAGGAAAAGGACGGCAAAGGAAAGGGCGGCAAAGCAGCAGAAGGAGGAGAGCTGGTCGGGCCGCGGCTGACGGTCCAAGAATTGGCAATGGACAATGACGTGATGTCGCGGACTCAGGCAATGGCTTGGAGTGAAAAAGATGGCCGGCAAACGCAGGCTAAGTGCCCAAAGAAATGAGTTTTTCCTTTGCCGTCGATTTGGTCAGAGGTTGTCTCACTTTTGAATGAGTTTAATTCGGTTGAAGAAGTTTTTGATAGGCCGGAGATTTTGTCGAAAACCGCCTATGCGTGTTGGTGTGAGCTGATAGTTTTGTTTGTAAATAGTTTGAGCTCTGGTAAGCCTTCCCTGTCTCCCCTGCTTCCTACTGCTCCCCAACGTGACCTTCTCCTGTCGATGGAACAGTCGGCAAGAAGAGTGCTTGATGGCGACGCTCGTGTGCAGTGGTCCCCCGCTGATATTGAGGAGGACTTTAGTAAGAAAATGGTGTCCTATACAGGTGAGGAGGTTTGTAAGGCGGAACCCTTGAGTCTGGTTAGGATGCTTCCAGGTTTCCCGCCTGAGGGGCGCGGGGGTTGTCCCGTACAAGGTGGATCCACGTAACCAGGTGCCCAACTCCAGGCCAAGGTTTTGTTGGACAAACCCAGCAATGGAACGTGTCGTGATTGTGGCGGATTCATTGACCTTACGGTTCCTGGGCGCTGGCCAGACCCCTCGCAATGGCTCTGCCCCGATTGGCAACAAGATGACCCTGAGGTGATCTACAAAGATGGGCCCCCCTAGTTAAAACACTTGTAACTTACTTGGTGAAGTTACAAATTACTTAAAACTAAGTTAGCCGGAGGGCTTCGGAAGTAAGATGTAACTTAAATGTAACTATTTTTAAGTTCTATAAGTTCTAATTGGTGATTTTTGATGTTCAAAAACTATGTTTTTTCAGGTTTCCCAGTAGCAAGGCCCAAACCGAAGGACATCGAAAAACTATGCTTTTTACCTGGGAAAGCGCTGCTGTTGCAAGGGTTTTTAATGTAGAACACTCACCGCGCCGCTTTGCTGAAGAAAAGCAAAAAGCAAAACAAAAAAAGCAAAAAATGCGCTTCGAATTTCTTCGGTGGACCACCACCGCGCTAAAAGAAAAACACTTTCTACTTTAAACCATCAAAGCGCGTAAGAAAAACAGGTCACACACAATGACCTACATCTGTGTGTTAGGAACACGCTGGGCGGTGGTCCGTCCAAAAAATTGAAGGCGATGGTCCGTCCAAAAAATTGAAGGCGGTGGTCCGTCCAAAAAAGTTGATGGCGGTGGTCCGTCCAAAAATTTTGATCGCGGTGGTCCGTCCAAAAAGTTGTGGCCGGTGCCCAAAAAACGCGGTGCACCCTGATGAACAAGAGGCTATACGCACAGTAGATGTACGGTAATGTACGGCAGATGTACGGTAATGTACGGTAGATGTACGGGAATGTACGGTAATGTACGGTAGATGTACGGTAGATGTACGGTAGATCTCCCGTACATCTACCGTACATGTACGGTAGATGTACGGTAGATCTGCCGTACATCTACCGTACATCTACCGTACATTACCGTACATTCCCGTACATCTACCGTACATATAGCCTCTTGTTCATCAGGTTACATCAGATCTTTTGAGGGACTGTGTGTGTGTGTGTGCGTCTTGTGATGCGTCACGGAGGCAAGGATCTACTCCTCAATTTTGGGGCGTGATCCAGCTTAATGGCTTCTAGTTGTTCCATGGCCTACATAATGGATTCGTTACACTATATTCTACTACGTGTGCGTGTTGCATATTTATGTGTTTCTGTGTGCAAAGTACTACTCTGTCGTACGGGTGGACCACCACCCCACAAATTTTTCACGACTAAAACATAAAAAACAATCGCGCCCATAAAAACAGAAAAAATGTTTCCAAAACAACACAAAATACAAAGATTTGCTAATCAGTCTCAGTTCTACACAAAAAAGAAGAGTACACCAAAAAACATTGAAAAACGCTTCTCTGCAAACCCGTCCACAAAAAACATAGTTTTTTCAATGCAAAAACCTAAGTTCCCTAAGTAAGTTGTAAGTGATTTAGCACTAATTTAGCACCCTCCAACATAAACTAGGATAACTTACTTATATATATCGAAAGTAATTTGTAACTGCAGCGCAAATACCACCAAGAACTTAGAACACTTCACAATCTTAGACCAGCTTACAACATCAGTTAACCCATGTTATAACATATGTTACGGCACTTTACAAGTTCTCCAACTAGGGGGCCCATCTTTGTACCCAACGTTCATGAAGGCGATTAGGCGCACGGATCCTCCTCCGCGTCCTGCAGGAATTGAACGTACCACAGACGTTGTGAGAGAGAGGTGGAGATTCGAGGATTTCCGCTTTCCGACATACCACGGCTCCTATGCGCTGAGGAACGAGAACGGCTGATGGGGTACGGGCATATGCGCACGGTGGTCTGCTTGTCGGCGTCCGCGGCTAAAGGCAACAAGAAAAAGTTTGAAGATGAGAGGTGCTCCTTAGTCGGAGATGCTTTCTCTATCTGGTCATTCTGTCTGTTTGCAGCAGCCAGCGTACATGAATATACGGGTTCCTTCACACCTTCGGTCTTGTTTGGGAGAATGGGGCTGCCTTCAGGGCGCGGGCTCCACTTACCCTTGTTGTGCCCGTTGCGAGTCGGTCTAGATTTCCTCTCTGACTCAGGTGCGCAGGACAAGTGTTGAATCCAAGGACGTTTCCCCATCAATCCGTCCAGTCGGGCAGGTGGCACTGGGAGAACATATTTAGTACCCGATGGGCCATTTCTGAGCACATTATTAATGCAAACCGGCGGCTGTTTCATCTCAGTGACCCATACGTTAGTTTGTCCATCCTCTCCAAAGGGAGAACGGGAAGCCACAACCCCGCTACATCACCAAGAAGATTAACGCCTTGCCTGCTCTACTTAGCGCGCGTAGACTCGGCTGACAATCCCACGGATGAGGTGTCTCGCCCCTGAGGCTCTGCGAAGGCTAAGACAAAGAAAACGAAAGGGCCTGTCGTTTCATGAAAGAATTCGATATTTTGCGGCCGTCGTGGCAGTGCTGCCAGCCTTGGAGAAATGGACTGATCAGGAATATATGTTCGTGGATCCTCCATTACTAGCGTGGCTGACGCTTTGTCGGGCCTGCATCATTTCACGCCATGGAGCCGAGGTAAGATTCGCGGGGCATGGAAACTTTATGGACGTTGGGGGGCTGGAACGCCCTAGACAAGCTCTCCCTTTTCCGTTAGAACTTGCGGCGGCCCTAGTAGGCCGATGTGTTGAAGTTGAGCATCTGCACCTTGCCTGTTGTTTATGTTTAGGTTTCTGGGGAATGCTTCGCACAGGAGAGATTTTTGCACTGCGTTTCCGACATTTGTTAATCCGGGACCAGTGCATGATTGTTAGGCTGGGTGAAACTAAAACTGGCATCCGACGCCAAGTGGATCGGAACGCCGTTATTCAACGTGGACCCACTGTCTTGATCGGCGAGACTTTACTCGGTTTCCCTCATTCCTCAGGTGACAACGTGTGGCCGCTTCCAAGGCTGTTTTTCGCGCGGAGTTCAAACGCCTTACGAATTTTTCTAAGTTGCGGGACACTTTTCGTCCGTACTCCCTTCGGAGAGGGGGAGCCACGGAGGATTTTCGAGTTCATGGCCTCATGGAGCGAAGCTTGCTCAAAGGCAGATGGGCCGCCGCAAGACAATACATTCAAGAAGGACTTTCAATTGACTAAACTGACCCTGTCCCGCCACACCCAGCAGTTATTCTTCACTACCCACCTGACCTTCAAGGGGCCCAGTCCTGGCGTCGTGGAAAGAGCTGACTTAGTCGTGCTTTTTTGCTACAACCAGCTTGCCAACATAGCTGCAAAGAGAGATATGACCAGCCTGCCAATATAGCTGGAAGCGTGGAAAAGACCCTATAGCAAATGAAATGCCCTTTTGAGGCGCAGCCCATATGGACATGAAACAAAGCCTATAATATAAGCTAATGTTCTACTTGGCATGTCTGTTCATGCAGAGACACAGACATGGAAAACCAACAGTTTGCTGGCCGACAAAAGAGCGATGTGAGTGCAATAGATAGATAGATAGATATATATATATATTTATATACAAACATTCTTTACAGCTGCTACAAACCAAGGAGGAAAGCACAGAGTGTGGTGTTGTTTCATTATTGTTGAGGCAAAGCAGAAGCAATTCAAACAGGAGTTAATTCTTCCAGAGGGTACATAAGGTGTGGGGCGCCCAATCCCCCTGAGATCAATTTAACCCAATATATATATATATATTCATGCAATCTAGGCTTTCACTGCCTACACCTGGGACCTATAGCTTGGACAAGTTGAGGTCTGAGAGTCAGTATAGACCACCGACTACTAACATTCCATGAGAGTGTTGACCGATGCCACAGACGATCTCTCTGTCCGTGGTCTCTCCCTCCGTCACGTCGGCAGGAAGAGCACTACGTCTGCAGGCACGAGAACTGCCGACGTGAAGCGTATCGGCTCGTGGCCTTTGGCAACGAAGATGAGTTGTGGATGCACGAGTTGAAGGACAGCGAGTTCCTGGGGCGCAGGAAACGTTCGTTCGTTGGGGTCAAGTTGGGATGGAAAAGATGGGTTCCTACCAGGTTACCATGATCTCAAGTCTGCCGAACGAGAGTTTGCAGTGGGACATGTGGGACATTTGTATACAAGTTGAATTGTGGCAATGTGGCAATTGGTCGTAAGATGGAGCCTTTCACTTAATTAATGACAACTAATGCCCATGCAGCACACAGAACTTGCAATATCCGTTGCCCCCCCATAAGGGGTTTCCGTAGGTTTCTATATACATGAGTTTCTACGGAGGGACATTGACTTTCGGCACCGTGGATGGACTCTATTGTCATCCATTTGGTATCACAATAGACCAGTCATGACCAGCCAGGGGGTCTCCCAGAGGGTCTCCCTCCACGCAACACGCCCCAAGAATCGTCTCGCGCACCCAGCGCAGCGCGGATGACGGAGAGCTCTCCAGGAGCACTCGGCCAAGCTCTCCCAAAAGGCCACCAAGAGAGGCCGGACGGTGAAAGTGGGATGAAGTGGGTAGGTGAGGGATTGAGTGAATAGGGATGGGGAAAGATGGTATACCTAGTGGTATACCTGTGACCGGTGACTAATGTGTCGAATCGGGGTTCCAGGGTGTAGGGAGAACGTGAAACCTTGGTGCCAAGTGCCAGTGGATCAATCCCAAATGTTTGCTCATTGTTGCCAGGCCCTTCGGAAGGTGCCAGGCTGATGCCTTAAATGCTTTTCCAAAAAAAAATATATATGTGTATATGAATCTCCATGTAGTCAAATCTTTTGCTTTTCTTTGAGGTGTTCACTGGGTAACCCTCCCGGACATGGCGCGGAGCGCGTTGAACCTGGAACTTTTGGTCTTTTGTTGCGTTGTTGGATATATTACAAGGTCCATCGTTTCTTTGAAAGACATGGAGACACAATATACATATATATATATATTATATAGTAATATATATACACGCTGTATATAATACACCCTAGATACCTCATCAGATACCTCATCGATGAAGCACATATTGAGGAAGGTCTTAAGGGGCCAATGAGATGTTCACGGTGGGTCCAATGGGCGTTTCCACCGGACCGCCCGGGCTTTCCAGAGCGATCCCGCGTTGTTTTGCTGTAGGTGCTCGAGTGGCTGTGACCATGGGCGCCGCCTCCTACAGAGAGGCCTTGGTTGCGAAATAGAAGTTCGTGATTTAGTTTTTGGGGCTCCTTGCAAGGGTCCAATGGAAGGAGTGGAGGCTTTGCCTAGGCTTTGCTTCTTTTTGATTCAATCCTGTCCAAAACGGAATAATTGGAATTCAGACGGTCTCACATTGATTGGGGTGCACTCGTTTCGAGACCCTGATGGGTTTTGAGGCTCCGACTTTTCCTCGATCCCAAGCCCCTATACTCCTGCCCACCAGGACCAAGCGTGGGGACGTCTCGGAATTAGATCCAACCAATGGGATTTGTTCCCGTCCACTAGAGCCTGAGGTCTTTGAGTTTTTGAAGCTTCCCGTATGAAGTGTGTTTCTTTCAGGTTGCAATTTGCTTGCGTTTGTTTCCAGTCCCAATGGAACCGGTGCTCCGCCCAGGCCGGCGCCACCGCCTCCGACGCCAAGCGCGGACCGCGTGAGCCACGGGCCATCGTGGAGGCTGGCGACATGGGTGTGGATCCGATCGAAATCAAGTTAGTAATTAGATGGAGGCCATCGCTATTAGGTTAGAGGCCATCGCTCATTTAGGTTGGAGGCCATCGCTCTATTAGTTAGGTTGGAGGCCATCGCTAGGTTGGAGGCAATCGTATATTAGGTTGGAGGCCATCGCTCTATTGGGTTGGAGGCCTTCGCTCTATTAGGTTGGAGGCCATCGCTATATTAGGTTGGAGGCCATCGCTATATTAGGTTGGAGGCCATCGCTCTATTAGGTTGGAGGCCATCGCCATATTAGGTTGGAGGCCATCGCTTTGTTAGGTTGGAGGCCATCGCTATATTAGGTCGGAGGCCATCGCTATATTAGGTTGGAGGCCATCGCTATATGGTTGGAGGCCATCGCCATATTAGGTTGGAGGCTATCGCTATATTAGGCTGGGAAGCCATCGCTCTATTTGGTTGGAGGCCATTGCTCTATTAGGTTGGAGGCCATTGCTCTATTAGGTTGGAGGCCACCGCTATATTAGGTTGGAGGCCATCGCTCTATTAGATTCGAGGCCATCGCTCTATTAGGTTGGAGGCGATCGCTCTAATAGGTTGGAGGCCATCGCTCTATTAGGTTGGAGGCCATCGCTATATCAGGTTGGAGGCCATCGCTATATCAGGTTGTAGGATATCGCTATATCAGGTTGGAGGCCATCGCTATACTAGGCCGGAGGCCTTCGCTATATTAGGTTGGAGGCCATCGCTATATT